CCCCCCCTCGTCCAAAAAATCAACTGATCGTTCGATTAAAAAAAATTTACAACCATTTCCCGAACAAAAAAAAATAAATTAAATTAATCTAATCTCCCGAAAAAAAAATAAACTTGGTGGAATGAGAGTATGAGTATCAAAAAATGGCAATCAGAGATATAATACTAAAGCCCTAGATATAATACTCCCTTATTGTAATATTATATTTTTTCTTAAGAAATTATATACAAAATATACTTATAATAGAATTTCATAAAGTAATCAAGTCTTGTTTTGAAGATGTATAAAGAAAGATATTTGATAGATGTCGCATATAACATATTAATAATGTACACTAACTACAAAGTTTACTAATTTTTCTTATTTGCGGGCGGGAGGTTCCACTTTCCGCCCGTGAAACAGGCACTGAAACTACTTTCGGCCCTCACTTTTTGCTCGAAAGTAGGAAAATTCATTTGGTATTCACATTTAAAGTTTATAATCAACAATTTCATTTCTCTACTACAATTATATCTTATTTTCGCCAACTACTGTAAAGCCATTATAAAATAACGTAAGAAATTTTTTAATTTACATGAGTATATTAATAATTTCTATAGGAAACTAATTATTTTTATAACTGTTTTATCAACGCAATAATACAGAAATTTTTTAAATCATCTTGAAGGATGAAATTTATGTATTTTACAAAAAAACAGTAGAAAATTGGCTTTATTTTGTCGCTTGAAGTAGGATAAATATCAAATTTTTATTATTTTTCTACATAATTTGTAACTTCTCAGCATAACTCGAATGAATTTTGCCAGCAAGAAGAAGATCTGGGTTAAAGTCTCTACTCAAATATGTCGTCTTTTTTTCTAGTTCTTCTCAATTTCTGTAGGATAATTTTCAACGAAATTCTTCGCTTCACAAAAAACAATGTTACGAAAATTAATAAAATATCGTATTATAAGGGCAATACGTGATGGTTAAAAGTCTAATATCTTTTTCTCTGGTTCTCTTACATTAAAATATTTTTTTCCTTATCGGGTGCAAAGTGAGGGCCTAAAGTACTTTTCGTGCTTGCGTCATGGACCCTAGGACGCAATCTAATCACAATTTTTTAAGCACAGAAATGTATTTTTTCCGCCCTCGGGTGGTTTTAGGAGGCTGGTACTTCCTCGGGCAAAAAAGCAGTTTCCCGGAACTCGTTCGAAAAGTCTTCTCTACGAACCTCGTTACGTCCCTCGCCTTCGGCTCGGGCCGCAAACCTCTCGGTTCGCAAACAAAGACTTTTCAAACTCGTAGGAAAACTACTATTTTCGTGATGTAGACACAGTAAAATAAGTATAATAAGCGTCGATGATTTTTTTCCTAACACTGTATAGCTAATAGGTGGTTTCTGTATTATTTTTTGTTCAGCAAATCGAAATTCCCTCATTGATGTCCTAAAAAGTGTGCAGAAAAAATTTTTAAGTGTGTGACAAAGGACTTATTATACATCGAAAATTTTTTTTTTTAAACTACAACAATTTTAAACAAAAAATAATAAGCGAATTATTAATGCATATATAGAAATAGAGAATCTAATAAAAATAACTTGTGGAGTCTGTCTCTTTACTTTTTGAACTGTGGTAAATTTAAATCAGTTTATTTTGAGTGTCATGTAATCAGACAGTTAAAGAAGTAGATTTGCTAACACACACAAGTGAAATACAACAGTTTCATTAATTCAAAGTAATACAATGATTATAAAAAATCATATAACTTATACTATCTTATAAATTTGAAACAATAATTTTTTAGCTTTGATAAAATTGAGTTTGATAATAGTTTTTAAAATATACAGCTGTTTTTTTTTACGGATAGTTTCATAAGATTGTAATTGTTATTACATTTTGTTAAAACGGAAAATCTTGGTAGTAATAATTTACAAACCATTTTTGAAACTCCTATTGATGCTATTTTAATTATTTATATTGTCTTACCTTGCATCAATAACGTAATGTAAAGCTTCATTCGAAATCATTATTGTCTTCATGATGGAATACATCCATACTTTTTCTTTGATCCTGGATTACGTATACTGTTTTTACATGTACGTACGAAAATAATTTATACTTTTCCAGTTTTATATAGTTACTTTCGTGAGGTAGGAAATGAACCTTATACAGCTTACACAATACCCCTCTCCCCTACAAAAAAAAATCCCTACATAAATCTCTTTAGCCACCTTACAAAAAAAGAGAAAAATCGACAAATGTCTTCGTCATTTTTACGTAATGAAATTTTGATTAACCCTCTTTTCCACATTCTCAAAAAAGATTCATAGGCCTTATCTTCGTTTGGCTACGGCCTACTTAGATACGTCAATTGAAAAAAAAGGAAAAAAAAATACATTTGAAAAAGTTAGTTCCTCTGCTACAGCTTATGTTTTAGTTACATATAGAGTAGAGGACAATTGTATGGATACCATTATTTTATGTTTAAGTATACACAATTATATCTGAAGTGTAATAATTATAATTGTCAGAACAGAAATAATTGAATCAATAACATAACACGTATAAAGCTTCATTTTGTAAAGTTATTGTCGTAAGTCAGAAGAAAACCCTTCTACAGCTCCAAAAATACCACCCAAAGTCCCTCCATAATTTTTTTCAGCCACCTCACAGAATAAGGAAAAATTCGATAAATTCCTTCGTTATTTTTTTTGAATAAAATTTTCTATTATGATAAAAAAAAAGTGATTTTCATCTGCTATATCCTTGAATTTTTCTTACGGTATGAAAGTATCTTATTTAAATACAATTTTTTTATACTTCACACTTTTATTTAAATAACAATTTTGACGTTCTAGATGGCTACTAATATTAAAAAACAATTACAAACATAGGCTTTGAAAATTGAGAAAAAAAAAAATAATTTTATACATCTAGAAATTAGATCTTTTGCCAAAAATAAGTTAGAGAGTTATGTGTATTCGATAAAAATTTTTAGATCACGTTGCTTTTCTTTTTAGAATCAAGAATTATATTAAAAGTGTGATTATTGTGGTCCAAATAACGATAATTTTAAGGAATAGCTTAAAACGGATGTTAGATCACCAAGTCTGAACTTTCTTGTATTGAAAAAAGACATTTTCTATGTAAATATAATATATACTAGTAGGACTTCACCTCCTGTGCGCTTCGCACGCCAACCATCACAATTTTTGTCATTATGTATACATGTATATATATATATATAATACAAAGAATTATTGGGGCACTATGACAAAAAAAAAAACCTTTTTGTTAAAAAAACCATGTATGCATTCGGTCATCATTTTAGTGGAATGGCCCAGCTAAACACGGAAAATACGATACGCAAGGACTCAGGCTACGAAGCGGGTGCAAGTAGTACGATGTTGACTGATGCAATCGAAGTAACGGTAGAGAATTCAAGCCCATGTCCTCATTTGAGAGCAGCTTCGGGGCCATCATCATCGACTTCGTCCTCTCCGCCACCTGTTCGAGCTGCTTCTGTAGCAGCTGTTTCGACGCATCAACAACAACATAAGAAGAATGGCAATGGACCTAATAGACACGAGCTCAAACAAATAAGAAGTTTTAGCTCACTATTACCTCTACAGTTCAGCAGGTTAATTTTTGCATGAGTTGTCGATTAAAATATGTTTTTCTCGATAAAACGTGGCCTGCATTTTTCTTATGAAAGTTGGATAATTCTACCGTCACATCAATTATTTATTAGTATTTCAGTTATAGATGTGACATTTAAAATGGTTTATTAAGTCTACGATATTTTTTACTTAAATAAAGTAATTGATTGATTCATTACAATGGAGTATATTTTTGATACATAAGTTTTTTGGAAAAATTCTTACAAATTAATTCTAGAATTTAAATTAAAACAATATTCATGCCTGAAATACGAATAGAACTAATTGCATAAGTTTACAGGAAATCATTGATGTAGCTTTCAGAATAGTATTGGTTCCAGTAATGTTTGTAAATGTAAATAGTATTTTAGATTACAGTGTTCAAAATGAAACTCTAAAAAATAGGTAAAGGCTCCATTCGAACTGAAGACTCTTAACCTGCTCACATAGTGTAAATAGATTCTTTTAATTAGGAAATTTTTCGTTGCTAGTGATACTTTTCGAAATATCGAAGTAAAAAAATAAATAAAATAAAAAAATCACGATTTAGGAATTAAAAAAAATTAAGCTCTCGACCTCACTTTTTGTTAAAACACCAAGTATTCATATTTATATGTTTCTTATAATTTAAAGTAAAACTTTATAATGATGGAAGAGACCAAAACGTTTTGCGATTTTAAGGCTCTGCAAATGTAAAGAAAAAGTGGTTACATTTGTTTTGCATAGCAGAAAGAAAGTAACTTCTTATACCCATCATGTACAAAATACAATTTATATTTTTTTCATTCCGCAGAAGTAACTACTTTCTTAAAAAAAAATACATCTAATGTTCAAAAGCTCTCATTCTTCGAGATAATATCATCACAATTAGGATCAAACATCATAATTAACAGTCAACGCTTAAGCACATGTTGTTACCACTGTATTTTAATAATGATTAAAGCCCTACTTATACATTCAAATATCTACAACTTTTTCATTTATCTAAAATTCTCAGAACATATAATATGTAGAGTAACACAAAAGTAGCAAACAATTATTTTATGTTACGCCTACAGGTCGAGTACATCGAAAGCGCCAGTGTCAACAGTCTCTGGAATGAGTTCATTGAACATCAGTAAAAAGGAGCGACGGAACGAGTCCTCAGGCTCACGCTTCAATCTGCGCAAGGCGAACAAGACGAGCAAAAAGAAGGGCGACAAGCTTGCCTCGCGAAAGGAAAGAAAAGCCACCAAGACTCTCGCTATTGTTCTAGGTATGAACCCATGCTAGTATACACGTATATGTATACGCTTGTGTACACGTAGAAACACGTAGATATGGCATCTATACATACATCTCCGACAAGCTCTCCTCTACGTTACCTTTAGTCTAGTCACGTATTTCTTCTTTTTTCCCCCTTTTTTTTTGCTCGTTTTTCCTTTAGTCTCTCGAGAGTTTCCTTATTTTTCGCATTAGCACGGCTTATGCAGCGGAAAAAGCAGAGTAGTGTTCAGCTTTTTCTCTCCATCTCTGCTTCGCAAGTAGCAAAAGAAAATAAGAAAAATAGGGTCGGACAACGGTGCAACTTTAAATCCTTAAGTGGAGGTTATGCGGGAGCTCCTTCTGAACCTCTGCACATAGGATTACCAATGCAATGCACCGAGTGGTATTTTATTTCGCCGACTCAGCTTTCATTCTCTGTGGTATCCGCTTTATCAGCCTCTAATAATAATTTTATTTATAATTTTCACTAAGACATGCATAAACTTTCTTTTCTTCAGCTTCCTCTCCTTGCTTCTATCTCTCTTTTAATTTTCATTACAATGAGAAAGCAATAAATGGTTCATCCTTATTATAATTACAAATATTTAAAGTTAATACAAGGCATAAAATACAATGTACCCTAAAAAAAGTCTAGTGAGATCTAATACCATTACTCAGGTAAAAAGCTCCAAGTCTGCTCTTATGGACTATTTTCTACACTTCTTTGGTCAATCCAACTATACGTTTTAATTCCACATTCTGAAGCAGATACGAATTCTACGTCAACACCTGTACATAATATTTTTTCCTAACTGAAATCTTAGTTTGTATGATGTTTAATTAATCTTAACGTGGTATGTTCTAATTTATAGATGACATTATTGTTTTCTAACAATGAGCTGTCGGTTTAAGTATACCCTTGAAGTATAAAACTGATTGCAGAAAGAGGTTCTTTGAGAAAGTATACTACCAGATCAGTTGGTAGTAAATGGACTATTTAATTAACGTCACTTCTAAAAAGATCAATTAAAATTAAAATTTAATCATACTCTTTGGTAGTGGCAACTTGAACTGCTTATCAACAGTAATGGGTTAAAGACCAGTGTGGGAGACATCTATGACGCTTTCGATTGGCTTAATGATATTTTGATTGGCGTGTAATACATACATACGTATATATATATATATATATATATATATATACACATAATCTTTGACCCTAAGAAGTTTATGTGTGACATATATAAATACACACTGAGTTAATGAGCTGAATAGAATTAGTTTTCTTGCTGCACTATTCCTTGACTCACAGTGAAGCAGATATCACTACAATACCAACTCTTGAATTACATAATTACTACCACTAAAGGTGTCAGTAGATTCCACTAGACTTTTTTTTCATTTCATTGATAAATGGAAGGAACTATGATACATTTCTCAAATATTACGCAATACGTCTCGTGCAAGAATTTTCCAATATTCTGTCAAAAACAGGTGTATTCCTGATTTGCTGGGTGCCGTTCTTCACGTGCAACACCATGGATGCCTTATGCTCCAAGATGAAAAAGGACTGTCAGCCCGGGGTCGCGGCTTTCATAGTGACTTCCTGGCTCGGGTACATGAACAGTTTCGTCAACCCAGTCATCTACACCCTTTTCAATCCAGAATTTCGCAAAGCCTTCCGCAAACTCATCAGCTCCTAGGTTGAGGGATGAGCTCCGCCATTCAGTGTAAATCACCAACCACACTCTGAGACTTTGCACCATCATCGTCCGCGTCATCCTTCCCGATAACGATGCACTACTATCGTCCGGCAGTCGTACAACGACGCAAACTGAGATGTCATGTTTGATTGTTACGCTGCTAATGGTATAACATACCTGTACGAGTAAGTTTTGTTCTTTCAAGTGCTGTGAGTATATTTTAAGGTACACAAGGCCAATTGAACGTATACATACATAACATTAGTGGGTAAGGTCGTACGGTGTTCTTGGATGATGTACACTTTGACACTGTAATGCGGGTCGAAACGAATAAACAATGAGATTGTAGAAAAGCACTGATCGCTTCAGCTTATCAAGGAAAACAATCTTTGAAATAATATAATTTCACTCTTATTATTTTGACCTTTTGAAACAGGAATATCGTAGGGATATATGTGTACGTACGACAGCTTTTGGCAATGAATTCACACCGTCTTTGGTAATATTAAGAGAAATCTTCCTAGTTAGTCTATTCACTTTTAAAATGCCAATTTTTCTATTTGAGCCGTGAAACCTGGAAAAAGTAGTTCGAGGGAATATAAAAAAAAAANAAAAAAAAAATAAAACAGAACTTGTTTACATCTGTCTCGTGCCTAAATTTAAATGCAAACACAGTTTTACCGCAGCTCTTTTCCCTTTATCCTGTGAGCTGTCGGAAAGGATGACTAAGCCAGAATACGAAGAGGGAGGATGCGTTGTATTATAGCTACGTGAATTTTGTGAAGGCAAGATTCCGCTTCCCTTGTACAACCAAAGAATGTTTTGAGATAGAAAGAGAGGAAATTACAACCTGCATTGGAATTCGTTTTGGCCTCGCAGACATGCAAAATGTCAAGTGTATGTATACCATGGTGTGAACGGAATGAAGAAAATTAATGATGCCGTAGCAGTATTAATAGGGTAAGGTCAGGTGTGCTAAGGTGTCGGTTTTTTTTTTTTCTTTTCTCTTCAAAGTCCCTTACATCACTCAATGATGAATGGAGTTACCTGAAATAAATTGAGTGTAATAAAAACCAAGCAGTAGAGGGTTTTAGGATTCCACTCTTTTAGAAGTACATGCATCGAGCCGGCTGATCGATATCGTATAAGCTTCACGTACTATAAAGATACAAATTGAATAAAGTTATACGCTTGATTATAATTGGTCAAATTAATTTTACGCCACGTTGGGGAGTTTATTGCGAAAGATTTTACTGAGAAGTTAAAAGTATTGCTAAGATTATTGTATGTATTGAGACTGATTGTTATTGTTGAATTTTCATTGAAAGATTTTGGGAATCATTAATTGTTAAGACAGAATGCGTGTTTCAAATTCTAATTAGATTTTTTGCTTGCTTTCAATATCACAAAGATGGGACAACAGACGTAAATTTTTTTTTGTTTGTTACTCATACGATCAAACGAGACACTTTCATGAAAAGCTAATAAAATTTCGAGTTCAGGTTGGTCGTGCAGGAAAATGATTGAATCTCCGAATTCTTAGACATATCAAAGTGAATTTTTTTAACTAATAAAAGACAGATAGTATAGCCGATTCCTGTGAGACAAACAATCGAAGTTGTCTTGAGAAAAGTTTTTGTTGCTCAAAAACATTGTCAAGATAAGTTTCATTCAAAACCCAAATAGCGTAGAAAATAGAGAAATGAATAATAATAATAAGTATGTACACGTAAATTATGGGTAAATAAACTGTGACAAACCCAAAAATAGATAAATCCAGAACGTGGCTCAATTGTAAGGTGTTGTGCGTTCACGAATGAACTTTCTATAAACTAAAAATATTTAAAACTTTAGAATCAATTTGACATGCCGATTAATAATATGTCAAAATACAGTGCTGTTTTTCGTTAAAAACTAATAAGATCTTTGAAAGTGTACAGAGTAGGCAAAATTTAATCTGTCTAGCTGTTAATCATTATGTTTCAGCTATTTGTTTGTTTTAGTCTTCAACAAAACGTAAATAAAAAAAGAATTGATAAACGTTTCCGATTTATTTATAAGTGAAAATTACCTGCATGAGATGCGAAGAGTTCTCAGAGTTGATCAAAATAAATTTCCTCTAAAGAGGAAAAAAATATTGTGCATCAAAACAAATTGTATAAGCTATTCTGCGTTTTAGGACATAAACTCAATAACCTGATAAAGTTATTAAATCAATGAGTTTTTTCTAAAGCGCATCTGCATAATAGAATTATCTAATTTTACTCGACTGCATAACGTAGCTTATATACTCTGTGCCTTTTCAAGATTATTGATCGTGACTTTAATGTTAATTAAATTTTTCAAGTACGTAACTCTTTTTAGCATAGTAAACTGACTAAAATAGAAAGTAACTTTTCCAGAGTAGAAACATACAGCACCAGCTCATTTGCTTTTCCGTTTTTACACAATACTTTGCAACGTGAAAGAAAAGTAATGACTTTTTTTTTTTCCAAATTCCAAAGCAACGAATGCAAAGTTTTTTCTCCATATCATTGAAATATCGATTTTTTGCCAAACAAACAATTACAGCGAGCAGAACAATTTCAGCTTACAAAAAAGCTTCTGACGTTTTCGACATAAAATGTGAAAAAAAAAGTATGTAGAGTCCGGGCAAATAAAAAAAAGGTTTCTCTACTAGAGGGAAACGAGTTCGCGGGAAATGAAAGATCGCAAGCCTGTGTGAAAATGAAAACTTGATACACCTGTGCAAATGAGAATAAAAAAGCAAACACTGCACCTCGACTTTTACTCTTTGCGGGGAAGTACTGTGGGAATAAAAATGAGTATAAAAAGTCTCGCTTCGCGGAAATCGCTGTATTTTTCTAAACCTAACATTACATTTTGATCTTGTAAATAATTTCATGCGCGCTGTTATCGAATAGAAGAAGAAACTCAATAACGTAATCGCAACGATGCTGTAAAAAATAAACACTAGCTCCTACGTGTACAGAGATAAGTGAATTTACTGGTATAATTACAGTATGTATTATATATATACGTAAACAAAACTGTAGTCATAGCCAAAGAAGTACCTATGTCGCATGTGTAAATACACATCTAAACTTAAAAGGAGCGTGTGGGTGTATGTTTGAGTGAGAGAGAGAAAGAGTGAAAGAGCATATACATATGTATCTTTGCGTGGTGAGTTGACTGGAAAAGGGAAGGCAGCAGAGGCAAACTTCGGGCGATTCCAAACTGAGCCCTGGATGGACTGGAAGTTTGCGGGCTTGTTTACAGGATCGATCACTGCGCTTCCCCGCTGGTGCAACATATGCGCGCGTACAGACTTGCACATAAACATGGTATGCTCACATAGTAATGCATCCAACAAAGAAAGCGTAGTCGTAAGGGTAGGTAAAAATACTCTTGTAAATACATGCCTCGTATTTTTTTTTCGAGCTGTTGCGCAGAGAGAATCGGCATATATAGTAAGTTTTTTTTTTTTTTTTTTCACTGGAAACTGAGTACTTTTTGTTTTATTTTTCGATCCACGACTGTAAATATGTGTTTTAAAAGGACATTGTCTAAAAATACACTTGCGCCCGGAGGACTTAAAAAATTAGATGTTTTTAAACCCTACATTAGCTGTTACTCTTTGCGCGACCAATCAATCGCACGAGTGTACGTCTCTTTATAGTATGCGCCTGACGAAAACTCGTACATATTTATACGTGGGTCATTTCACTGCAACATACAATATTTAGTTTCAGAACCTTAAACTGTTTTTATGTCACTGTTTGTTATAAAAATCAGACATTTCAGATGTAAGTTTTTTTTTTTTTTTTTTTTTTTTGCAATTTAACGATAGATATTTTTCTTAGCAACGGTATCATTATATGTCATGTGGTTAAAAAATCGCCATCGAATGAAAAAAAATTATTTTAAAGAATTGTTTTGCAGAGTAACGATACATCGAATAATCGAACAGCGTAATTTTTCACTCAAGAAAAGAAAGCATCGAATTTTTGGCAGCCTCGCTATAGTAATACTTATACTAGAATCAGTGATTCGAAAGGTTCAGGATGACCAAAAGCGTTTTTAAAATGAAATTCAAGACGTGAAGATTTTTTTTTCGTGTCAATCATGGAACAAAAAATAGCTTGTGACAATGGAATTGGTTGAATAGAGATCTAAAGCCAATTAATGTTGAAAAAAAAAATCTATCAATTTCCGTTTAGCACAGGTTATACCACAGACATATCGGCCTCTTTGGCATCTCTCGATCAAAGACTGTATACATTAAAATCTCATTTTGCAACGAGAATCGATAAAAGGTGTAGTTGACAATTACAACCGTGAAATCCGTAAAATAAACTACCTATCGCGTCTTTAAAATTAGGCTGTCATATAACGAATTTCGGTGAAATGAGCCACGTATATAATATTATGTTGATTTGTGAATATTCGTGAAAATGCAGCGCCAAAGTTCATAATATATTTAGTATTACATCAGTTTACTTTTTTATTTAAACTATTAAATCGATGGTCTATACAGGGCATAGGTCGTAAGTTGCATTAAGTTTTTGTTTTGGGAAAACTAATGTGTCATGACGATGAATTTATGCAAGAAAATAAAATGTATCGATGAGTGTCAAATTAAAAAAAATCTATCTACTTGCCAAATGATTATTGCGATTTCTAAGAGGGAAAAAAAGGGAATGAAAGAGAAAAATACGAAATGATGATGCAATAACGTTTAATGAGAGTAAAGAGCGATTTTCTGACGAAAAATGATAAGTATAAGAAACTAAACTCTGACACATACATGTAGTTAAAAGAAGACACAATCGATTGTAATTATTTAGATGACACAAAAAAAAAAAAAAAAAAATAATTGAGATTGTTAAAACTAATAAATTATAGAATAAGTTAAAAGTTGATGTTTTGATTATTTGTGAACCTTCCTTTTATAATGCAAAATAAATAAATCCATGATAACATTGAAATAAGTAAGTACGAGCAGATGTTTTATTTGCAGCTTCTCTCAGAGCAGGTAAGGTATATCAAGTACATCCATTTAAGAGACAAACATTTTTATTCGTATAAATGTATTTAGAGCAGGTGAGATAGCAGTCATGGTCACCTCCTTTTGGGATTACTTTAAAACTCTATTGCTCTCTGACTTCAACGGAAGAAAATATTTTATCCTTATGTACTTCTGGCAATTGCTCCACATTTAAAATAACTGTTGAAAAAGATGGATTTGTAATTAAAAATTATGAGGCTTCTTTTATAGAGGTTGGAAGCTGAAGTTTTTAATACTCAAGAGTTAAGAGCTCCCAGAGGAATTACAACTTCTTAGAGTAAACAAACTCGCTCATTTTTACTCCATCATTACTTTTAGGTTTCCGTAGTACTATCAGTTAAGATAGATCAAGAAATACATAGTAAGCCAAAGTTGAGTGGGATAGAGAGATACGAATTAAAGTAATACATCATTATACTGTACTGCAGCAAAAATTCCTAATTTCTTTTAACACCATCATTTTATTCGCTGGAAATTTAATAGGCAAATAATATGAGATGACGAGTTTTAAAAGAAAATAAAATGTGTGGATTGAATTGGTGAAATATGAACTCATTTATTTTTTTAAACAACGATTTCTAATTTTTCACATCCAAAGACGAATTCCTAATGGATTTAAAAAAAAATTTTTTTTAATATATTAAGTAATAAAATTGCATAACAAGAACTTAAGAAATAAGTCAACAATAAGCATTTATAATGAAGCAACGAATACTGATTACTTATTAAAAACAGTCTTCAACCGTAATGGTAGTACGATTTCGTGTTAATACAATAACAAGTGTAACAATGGTTTTAGTAATAACAGTAACAATCCCAATTACAACATTAATAATAGTACAAGTAGTAACAACAAAAATAATATTGAAAATTAAAATCAAGGCAATGTCAATTCAGTACATGTTTCTTTTTCTTGTCTTATCTCATCCATTTTCGGATGAACGCATCGTTACGTGTCCAGAGCTCCGTTGATTCTTTCGTTGATTCTCCAGATCTTCCTTGTTGCAGAATTTCCAGATATTAATAATGAGTGTTGACTCTTAGTGTAAGCCTACCATCGGTTCTGCTGATATCCGATCTAAAAATTAAAAAAAATTAAGGAGATGGACTACCGGGTCTTGCATGATAGGCATTGTTTTACCGTCATTTCGCTAACTTTAAAAATTTTAATTTTTAGAAAAGTTTTACGAAAATTTGGCACAGGGATACACATAGTAGTACTAAAAGGTTTACAAATTTTTTATTGATGATATACTTCGATACTATTAGTTCACACGTATTTTTAATTCTATATTAACCACTGAAAATAGTTTTATGTGAAAGGTAACTTAATTTGAAGTATTTGTAACATTTTTTTACTCATATTAAAATTAATGTGTGTGTGTCACATGAATTAATAAAATGTTTTAGTTGATTTTCTATATCGAGTCTCATGTGAATGCAAGTTTTTTATTTTAATCATTTTAATTTTTTATTTTTTATTTTTACGGATTGTACTTATAAACTTAGAATTTTTAATTAATGTAGTAAAAAAGAATAATAGAACCATCTTAATTGTTCTTCAGTAACTATTGCGTCAGTTTTTTGTTTATAAAATTAAATTTTTAAGAAGACTTATTTCTAATTGTAAGCTCAATACTTAGTCATATCAATTGTATCTAGCTGGGAAACTTTCCCAACTTTAAAAAGCAACATAATCTACTAGACACTGTATCATGTATACACGCTTTGTAATATGCTAAAAAGTAATAAGCTAGTGATTAATATTTTTCAATAAAAAGGTTATTACTTCGCCAAGGAGAGAAAAAAAAAACAGAGCTTTATCTATACGTATAGAGCACGTCGGCTCATCAATTTTGAAGCCCAGCTCGGTGTCAGCTGATGCGGAGTCGAGAGCAATTTAGAATCCATTAATCATGTTCGAACTTGGAAGTAATTGCGTAACATCTAGTGGGAAGCTCGCTCAAGCTCAGCTTTTTTCAACATTGAGAGAAAAAAAAACGGGTGGGTATCTTTTTTTTCCCCAAGGGCTAAAATTGGTTGCAGCCAAATGCTGGCAAGTTTTAAGAAGGACGATGCTGGCGAAGATTTTTGCTCGAGTGTGCTTTTTAATTTTTGAGGCCAAGTAAAGTCCTTGGAGACGGTTTATTGTGTGAACGGACTATTTTATTGCTTCGCGAAACTGGGAGCTGCAGTAACAAGTTATAAGTCACCACGAGGATGTTACTGATTCATATTATAGGTTTTTTTCTGTCAGTTTATACGTAAATATTTGGCAAGAACCTCCAGTATGCTATTCTTTGCTTGCAGGAAGTAGTTTTTATTTTATGACTAAGTATTTTAGGAAACTGTTAATTTCTTTCTACATAACGTACATTTTAGTATATACTAATTCTATTCGTATGGATAAACGCATAAATAAGTTATTTTCAGACAAGATTGAATTCTTAATTGATCAGTCGATAATTATGAGACATTGTCAATTTCTTGTTATTTTTAGAGTTCTTTTGGAGGTTCGTACTTCAATAAATCTGACGTACTGGCAAGATACAACAAACAATTTACTTTTACATGAGCAGAATTTCAACAGAAACTATAAAAGATTTAGTTAAAAAGGTATTTGTTTTTTTAATTAATTAAATTTATTTTTTAATAATATTATTCAAGATAAAGAAATAATATTTCAAAATTTTGTCTTTTACACAGTTTGAATGTTATAAAAAAAAATTTAGTCTTACCTGAGAGTATGATGGGTCAAGTGATCTTTGTTGATGATTAGGGCCAACTTTTCTAGATTCTACATTTGCTGATCTCGCTTGATCTGAGTTACTTGATTGCAAAATATATTGCAGCCCATTAGGACCGCTCAACTGCAGCTGTAATCCTAATAATCTTACTTTAATGTCAATTTTATTGTTTTAATAACCAAACTTTTTTTTACTTTAGTGCGCTTGGCTTGGAAAAATATACAAAACATACATACCTGAAGGAATACTAGTTTGTGCTTGAAGAGCCAGCTTGGTTTGTTCATCGTTTGGCAACACGTAAAATGAACCTAAGTCATTGTAATAATTGAATAAATTTTAATTGTGTACTAAGCACTTAATAAAGTAATGGTTAGTGTCCAAAAGTTATACGTGCAAGGATAAAAGAATTACAAAAATTTTCACTGAAAAAACAATGGTAAGCCTGTGACATTTTGTCTATTATGACATTAATCCATACCATTATTTTGCCTAAATAAAATTTCACGTTCAAGAGCTGCACAGTAAAATTGTTAGCCCTTGTAAGGGCAAAAATTTACTACTTTCAGTCTGCAGGAACTTTGAAAATAAGATTTTGTACACTTTAAAGGAAAGGTAGACTTAAAATATTACCTAAAGGTATTCCTGCACTAACTTGATTGGCAGGCTTGTTTTGCTCACTATTTTGTGCAATATTATACAAAGGTGTATTGGTTCCTAAAATATAAAGCAAATTCATTATTTTACAATATTTTACGAAAATCTTACTTCGAGTATATAAATTTATAACTTACCGGGATTTAATTTATTTAACTGCATTGACTCAATTTGTTCTTGTCCAGTTGTATAGGTATTTATGTTCGTGGGAACTGAAAGAAGATTGAGTTTTGATTTTGCGTGAAAAAAATTATTATAGAATACTTAATACTACGTACATCAGTCAAAAATTTCTGAAATTTTGTTATATCTTACCAGCCGTAAGTGTTATTGGAGTTCGTGAGAAATCGACTCCTTGGATTGCTATCTTCATTGGAGTAGACACTCCAGATGCTGAAGCCGATGAGATCGGAGTCGTCGGTATACTAAATCTCAAAGGTGAAATATTATTTATGTTTCTATTATCAACACCACCACTGCTACCACTAGATTGTTGATTTATTTGAAGATTAGGTTGATAATAAGGCAAACTTGACTTGGTATCATAAATAAGGAAATTGTGTTTAATGTCCGATATCTGGAATTGTTGCTTCAGAGCTTCGATGGGCAGTTGTCCAAGCGAAACTGATGGAAGTCCTTGTTCTATAGCCCTACTGAAATTCTTAATTATTATGTTAAAATTTTTTGAAATCCTACTTAACTGGCAAGTATTTCAAAAATTTGGATAATGTGCGTGTAGCATTTACAAGCTGTAGTAAGCATATCGATCGTTTTGAACTATATTATTGTAGTTGATAATACAAAAATCCATCGATTCATGGATAAGTATTTTCAAGTCATGATTAATTTATTAATTATTTACTGTTTCTATATCTTGTTTCATGATACGACAACATGTTTATGTTCTTTTACACCGTAAAAACAATAATGAATAGCAAGAGTTATTTTATTAATCCAAAATACATTAATTAGTTTAAAGTCAGTCATTTCTTAAAAATACATGTCGTTGTTGCAAAATAGTATTATTAAAAAAAATATCAATTACACACCTGAACTCATAAGGTATCTTCGTTACATCTTGCAGCATAATTGTCGGGACATTGGTCATCTGACTGAGCTGATTGTGGACGGGGTCGAGACCAGATTTAGGCGACACTGGCGTCAGCCTCGTCGTGGCCGGGGTACTAGACACCAGATCGTTCAGCTGAAAACAATTATAGAAGTTTAACGCGATCGAGCTCCATCGATCAACCATCCCGAGTTGAGAAGTTATTTCTCATCTACCCTTCCCATCAAACTCCTTCCCTTCCCATTTTTTCACTCATCCTTTATCTAACTTGACTTTCTTCACTGGATATAAGTCGTAAGACAATTTAAGCTATGACTTTCGATAAATTCATGTCTAGTATTATTTGAAGTTTTTTGGCTTTGCTTCTCGAATGCAGATGAATCATTTGTTTCGATAGCATACTATACGTCTGCTGTTTGTCGCACTTTAATGCAGGTATTACCAGTTAAGTTTCGCACTCCTGAAACTTTGATAGTTTATTGCGTGTCAGAATGTTACATCAAACGTTATTCTTTGAGTGTCTCTATAAACTTTGATGAAATTTCGTCCTTATGATCAGAGTTATTCGACGGTATAAGAAAGTTTGGAGTACCTTGTACTAAATGTAATTAGCTTAAAAGTTTCATGTATAGAATTTAAATTAGTTTGATTTAAATTATTTTAATTCAAGAATAAGCTGGAACAGTCAGATATCATCAACTGCCTTCAAATGGACCCTCACATTTTTCAATTATCAGTTGTATTTCTATAAGACACATCATTTTTCGAAGACAATTGTAAAGTAAAATTGGGTATGCATCGTTGCTCATCTAAACCCTCCTTGATCTATTATTAACCATCACTCTACATATGTCAACGATATTTAAAACATACTTGTAGGTAAAGAAGAAAGTTGTGGCGAACCATAAGTGTTTATCAAAAATATTCTGTCTAAAATTGTAATTTTTTTCTAATACAGACGAGTTTTTTTATCTAAAACATTTTTGATGAGGTTAATAAACAATACTGTTTGGGAAAAAACGGGTACTGTTCAAATGAATCGTTTGTTTTGAAATGACAAGAGATATTATTCACCTTCCAATCACTTTTTTGTCTTTTCCCAAAAAACTCTCTTTATCGATCGCAATTTATTTAATCTTACCCTGACTGTATTGGGCGAAGATTGGCTGGACGTAGCAGAAGATACTGTGATTTTCGGCAAAAGGGATGGAGGCGATAACGTTTGCACTTCCGGTGGCAGAGGATGTGGTAATGTATTGTCTGGCTGTTGGCGTTGGAAGCCAACTGTTCCGGTAGTCACCGACATTGTCGAGGGCAAGTGCATCGATATCGTAGACGCTGCTCTTGTAGTGCCAGGAACTAGTCTGGCGATGGGCAGGGGATTCATGTCCGCAGAGGTAACTGCAGCCACCGAGGCAAAGCCCAGACTGTGGTCACCTTTACCAAAGCATAAATTATATCTTTGTAATAATGTCGTTCCACGAAGGTCTGATTTATTGGGTATCGTAGTGGTCTTAGAGGATTTCTCACTGCTATGAAGAAATTTGCAAGTTAGAGACATTTTGATTGAGTAGAAAGAACGCTGGGAAAATATATTTCGCTGTGATACATGTAGTTGTGCAACTTGAAATTCTTTATGTTGAATAATTATTTAGCTTCTGATTCTGAGAAAATCAGAGGATATTTCTCAGTGCTTTCATGTTTGTATTATGTTAAAATGTAATGATATTATGTGTATCCATCATAAGTGTTTTTCGTTTTTTATTTATTCATTTAATTCATGCTATACGAAAAAAATTCCCATCAATTAGAAAATATATTGTTTTCATCCACAAAACTAATGATACATTGTAATTTCAGTGCACTCAAGTACAAATTTTACTGCGCTAAAGTATCAGTGAAAATAAAATACCGTCTTACCATAACTGAGAGGGCTTGAATGACCACCGAAGGACAGTGGCTGCCTCGCTTCTGTCGCGGTCACCTGCTGGTGGTAAAGGCTCCTTAGTTCCTCGTGAGCCTTTGTCGTTGACAACTCCAAAGGTGTGCGAGGTCGTTCATCTCTTGAACCTGAAGTTGGCTGCTTGTTGCGTACGTCCTCTCTCAAAGGTGCTGGTGGTGGTGGACCTTAAAAATAGTGAAATAATATTAAGCTACATCCATTTTATCGCTTTTCATTTATGGCTTAAGTATAGTTTCCAAATGCCAGTAGAAGTTGAAAATAAGTTCTCAAGATCAATAAAGGTGCCTTACCCAAGTTGAGTTATCCTTTATATGCTTAATTTCAAACACCTTAAATAAAACTTTTGTGTATGTAAAATACATTGTTTCTAATACCATTGTATTTGATAAAAATATTTCAAATACTTTGCTGAAAAAAATGTGTACTTAACTAAATTATCTAAAATATTTAAAAATCAAATACAATCGTATTTTAAATAATCGATTCTGTAGGTGGTAAAGGGATTTTTTTTGAGGTCTGATAAGTAAAAGCGTCACTATAACAATACAATTCCAATACAGATTCATTTCATGTAATTTGTTTTAAATAAATTATTTAAAATAATATTGTATTTAAAAACTAATGTATTTGATGCTTTTATTTGAAATAAAATAGTTTGAATACTGTACTTTAAATGAAAGAAATTAATATTCTTTTATACAATTTTTAATGGTTAATGTAAGAGTATTTTATTTGAAATACTATTTCAAATATAATGATGAATTTAGTATTTAGTTTAGTTATTTCATTTAAATAAAGTAATTAAGTATTAATAACTTGAATTAAAGTTATAAATTATAATATTGTCGAATTTTGTGTTAAAAATTAACAATTCCTGTGTTATTAAGCCCATTGTATGTACATGTCTTATCCAAACTGAATACATTAAGAAGTGCGACTATTTTGTATCATTTTGGCAAATAATTTGTGTAAAATGATAATACACCCAAACTTTTTAAATGAGTCACTACACTGTGTAATTATTGGTTTAAACAAAGTGAAGCACTTGGTATTAATTTGATCCGTGTTAGCTTGGAAAACGATATTTTGTGTATCACTGAATGAAAATAAAAATAAGTTCTTACAAACAGGATTGCCAAGAAAAATCGGTATTGACATGACGCTTACTACCACGCAAGCTACTATA